TGGCTGATGTGTTGCTAGTTACACTGAAGATGGTGAGGTCATTGTGGTAGGCTTGCTTTCACATTGAATAGACAGTGTTGGCTGGGTGTGGTGGCTCACGCCTGTAATCCCAGCACTTTGGGAGGTCAAGGCAAGCAGATCACAAGGTCAGGAGTTTGAGACCAGCCTAGCAAACATAGTGAAACCCGTTCTCTACTAAAAATAACAAAAAAATTAGCTGGGCATGGTGGTGCACGCCTATAGTCCCAAGGAGGCTGCTTGAACGTGGGAGGCGGAGGTTGCAGTGAGCCGAGATTGCACCACTGCGCTCCAGCCTGGGCGACAGAGCAAGACTCGGTCTGGAGGAAAGAAAAAGAATAGACGATGTTGTTTCTTCTTCACCAGAATATGCATAGCTGAATGAAGATGTATGAGGCCCTAGCTCCTGGCTTACGGTTAGAACTATCTAGAGATAGCCAGAACTTCCAAATATCCCTTGCCACCAGAAAGGCTTTCATTATAAAATAAGTAACTGTTTTTGACTATTGATTATGTGCCAGGCATTGTACAGTCATTAGCTCATGTTATCCTCACATGTTAAGCCTTGTAAGATGTAGATGGTGTTGTCTTAATTTTATAGATACTGAAAACTGAGGCTCAAAGAGATTAGGAAGCTTGTATAAATTCATGTTGCTAATTAGTGGTTGACTGGGGACTAAAACTTAAGTCTCTGACTTCAAGCCTATGTTCTTAATGACTTTGCTGTCCTCTCAGGCCCCTTACCTCCAGAGACTTCAGGGGCAGATGTTTAGGTCCTCCCAAATGTTGCCCACTTTGTTTTTCCCTCCCCTAAGTTGAGGCAAAGTGTTTTAAGGCAAAGAAGAGGTCATGAGATCTTTGAAACTGAGGCCATTTGTATGTCCCTTGTCTTCCACTTGAATCCAGATGATGTTCCTTTGTGGTGAAGAATCACATATGCACATGGAATCTTTGGGACTGTTTGAAATAGGCAGGCACCTCCTGGACTGTGAAGGTAGCCTCCGCCTCCCAGGTTCAAGCGATTCTCCTGCCTCAGCCTCCCGAATAGGTGGAATTACAGGTGCTCACTTACCACACCTGGCTAATTTTTGTATTTTTAGTAGAGATGGGATTTCACCATCTTGGCCAGGCTGGTCTCGAACTCCTGACCTCAAGTGATCTGCTTGCCTTGGTCTCCCGAAGTGCTGGGATTACAGGAATGAGCCACTGCACTCAGCCAGCTCAGTTAACTTTCTATCAGGCCCTGCCAGGACCCAGGTGTCTGTTTCCTGAGGGTCATAGGTGGTGGTGTGAGGATTCTTTGGAGAGCATGTGACCTGCAGGTGACTTACTGGCTTTGATGCTATGTTGAGCTGAGGTGGTCGGCATGATTCTAGGAAGCCCACAAGCCCAACAGCTGATGAAAGAGGGTAGCCTTGTGCTTACAGGGCATAGACTGTTACCTGATGGATTGGAAAGGGATTTCAACCTGAGAGGGACCTTTAGCATTCCCAGAAAGCAGATACTGAGGCTGCAAATTGTGGTAAAGCCTCAGGCCTTTAGGCAGGGGCTCTGGGAGATGGCGCTCTGCCTAAGTGTGGCCCTCGCCATGTCCCATTTCAGCACTCATTTGAGTGCTGAAACTCAAATGAGATACGTGCCTTAAGTCTGAAGTTACAGAAAGCAAAGTCCCAGGCTAGGCAAGTACCTGCTAGTGTTCTGAAGTCTTGGATGGGCTGGGGCCCAGACCTGAGCCTAGAATTTCTTTTTCTGAGCCAAAAGAAAATTGACAAAGGCAGGAGACAGCAGAGACTAGATGAACTGACAGGTAACTTTCCTTGGGTATAAGAGGAAGAAAGGAAGTAAGCCCACAAAAAAGGGCCAGGGAAAGGGGTAGGTAGCATCAGGCAGTGTCTGGACAAGAGGAGAGCTGAGATGATGTGCACTGTAAATCCAGCCAGGCTTCTGATTTTTTTGAGACAGGGTCTCACTCTGACACCAGGCAGGAGTACAGTGGCACGATAGTGGCTCACAGCATCCTCCGCCTCCTGGGTTCAAGCCATTCTCCTGCCTCAGCCTCCCAAGTTGCTAGGATTACAGGTGCCTACCACCACTAATGTTTGTATTTTTAGTATAGACTGGGTTTCATCTTGTTGGTCAAGCTGGCCTCAAACTCCTGACCTCAGGTGATCTGCCTGCCTTGGCCTCCCAAAGTGCTGGGATTACAGATATCAGCCACCATGTCCGGCTGCTTCTGGTTTTCTTCCAAGGAGCTAGTAGCTCAGGGGCCTTCTCTGCTCTCATCTCCCTGTAACAACCTAAACTAAACCATGCTGGCAAAAGCCGGCTATATTGGGATAGGAAGAAATTATTCTTCTAAATGAGACCTTAGACCTTCTACCCTGCCCTGGCAAGAGGAGAAAGTTCATGTGATCAAAGCAGCCTTACTTAACCTGCAGCCTGAGGCTGTCAGGATGTAGTCATAAGGTACAGCCATCTCTTCACATGCAGTACCTTTTTTTTCAGAAATTGGCTTTAGCATGTTTGTCCTTTGGCACCTGAAACCCCTCAGGGAAGACTGAGCCCAAGTCACTAGGTCTTAGGCATTGCTGAGGCTTCCCAGAATTCAGGGCATAGGAAAACACGTATTATTCTCTTCTGCCTGGTTCCTAGGGGCTGATTCCACCTTGGAGGAATTTTGACTTTTTCTGGGCTTGAGCCATTCACTTCTGAGCCAAGACCTTGGCTGCAGATATTTTAGCCACGAGTACAGCCCACGTGCATGAGAGGACCAGATTACTTTGTGGGTGACTGCAGTTGCTGGGTACCAGTCCTCCTGCCTGTAGAACTGACAAATGGAAAAGAGAAGCAGGAGCCAGCCTATACTACTGTCTGTGGGACACACCAGGCAAAATGAGCTTATGCAGCTGAGTGTCTGAAGGGAAGAAAGCTGGGCCGGACCTTTGTCCTAGCTGATCCTTCCCTCCAAACCCGAACTCAGTAACTCTCCCATAGGGACACAGGCCTTCCCTGTGCCCTCCAGCCCTTCTCTCTCTTTGGGAATTTTTGGCAGGGAGAGTGTTTGCTACCAAGTGAAGGCTGCCTAGCATAAATTTGGACTGCTGCAGGTCACAGTGCAAAGGCGCCTTTGGGCTCCTCAGGAGCCTGTCCTCCATCCTGACTCTGGCTTATTTCCTCTTCCCAACCCCCCACTCCCTTCTATCAGCACTGTGTGTTCCTTGTCACCCACTTATTCCTCCAAGGTCCCTACTGAGCAAGGAGCTCTCCATGATGCCATAGACTTTCCTCCAGGTCAAATCAACTTCGCTCAGATGACCAGAATGAACGATCATTCCCTCTCCTGCTCTCCCCTTTCTTCCTAGCTCACTTCTTCTGACTTGATGTGTAGTGCCTCTCCCTCTGACTGTCCTTGCCTTCAATTCATGATCTCATAAGCTGAAGTCACATCTGGCCTGTCTATGAACAGTCCCTTCCTTCTATAACCACAGATATTCAAGGTTCCTGGAGTCAGTGGAAGTCTGAATCCTCCCCCATAGAAAGTCAGGTTTTGTGGGAGAGAAACCCCTGAAAACAAAGGCTCTAGCTGAGTCTTGAAAGTGTACCTTATACCTAAAGGCTGGGATGCCCAAAAGTTCAATCCAGGCACTGGATAAGAAGACTGAATTGGCACTGAGCAATGAAAACAAGTAGCAGATGGTGCTGAGGAACATCCCAAGACTGAAGAAATGTGGTTCCCAGAACGGGAGAAGGAAGGAGACATTGGCAAAATCTTAACAACTTTGACAACCTGGCCAGGGAAAGCTTCAGGATAAGACTGAGAGCACATTTGTGGTGTCAGGGGTATTGGTTAACTGAGATACTCACTGTTCTGTAACCTCTTCTCATGTTCTTTTACCATATTCAGAGTAAACAGACTTTGTGGCCAGGCTGGGCTGGTCAGCAAAGGCAGGGAATAGAAGAGATTAGACAGTCAGGCTGGGTGCAGTGGTGCATGCCTGTAATCCCAGCATTTTTGGAGGCCAAGGTGGGTGAATCTGCTGAGATCAGGAGTTTAAGACCAGCTTACCCAACATGGAGAAACCCGTCTCTACTAAAAATACAAAAATTAGCCGGGTATGGTGGCATGCACCTGTAATCCCAGCTACTTGGGAGGCTGAGGCATGAGAATTGCTTGAACCCAGGAGGCAGAGGTTGCAATGAGCCGAGATTGCATTATTGCACTCCAGCCTGGGCAATCGTGTGAGGCTCTGTCTCAAAAAAGGAAAAAAAAAAAAAAGATTAGAAATTTGACCAGGCACAGTGGCTCACACCTGTAATCCTAGCACTTTGGGAGGCAAAGGTGGTGGATCACCTGAGGTCAGGAGTTTGAGACCAGCCTGACCAACATGGTGAAACCCTGTCTCTACTAAAAATACAAAAATTAGCTGGGCATGGTGGTGGGTGCCCGTAATACCAGCTACTCAGGAGGTTGAGACAGGAGAATTGCTTGAACCCGGGAGGCGGAGGCTGCAGTGAGCTGAGATTGCACTACTGCACTCCAGCCTGGGCAACAAAGAGTGAAACTCCATCTCAAAAAAAAAAAAAAAGACCAGCCTGGCCAACACGGTGAAACCCTGTCTCTACTAAAACATACAAAAATTATCCAGGTGTGGTGGTGTGCGCTTGTAGTCCCACCTAGTTAGGAAGCTGAGGCAAGAGAATTGCTTGAACCTGGGAGGCAGAGGTTGCAATGAACTGAGATCACACCACTGCACTCCAGCCTGGGCAACAGCGAGACTCTGTCTCAAAAGAAAAATAAATGGTCCCAGAAACCTGAGGGATCGCTCCCTATAGTCAGGCTGTTTTCTGGGGGATAAGAAGTGAGCAAGGTTTCTTGGGGATGTTGTCACAGACCAGACCCAACCCAGTAAATCAGCAGCATAGGGCTAAGGTATGTGGGATATGTGTAGCCTAAGCCCTGCCTGGCCTTTGATGTCCCCCAGGTGCTGGAGGTGGTGAGAGCCAACTATGACACACTCACTCTGAAGCTGCAGGATGGCCTGGACCAGTATGAGCGCTACTCAGAGCAGCACAAGGAAGCTGCCTTCTTCAAAGAGCTGGTGAGTGCCTCATGGCCGCCTCTGCCTGTGTCTTATGTCTTAGGGGCCTGCTCCCAGCCAAGGGGTTCTACTGTGCAGATGGGCCTCTAGGGAACAACTGCAGTTTGCTAAGGACAGATAAAACAAGACTTGAGGGGTCTGCTGGGATGGGGTATGCAACCTCCCTCCCACACCACACCAGGCAGTAGGATAAGATGTCCTTCCAGGTCGCATTGTCTACGTTTCCTCTGCAGCCATGGGGAGACAGCCCCTACACAGCTCCAGCTGGGCCTGGGGTTTGATATGTATTCCCAGAGGCAGCTCTGACTCATTATTCCTTAACCTGTCCTCGGGGCAACTAATGAGAGTAATTGATTCTTCTCCTTCTTATAGAATCACTTCTTCCTAAACTCCTAACTGACCACTGGTCTGAGTGCCCTCCCAGTCCAGTTCTCCAGTTCTCTACTCCCTACCTTCCAATCACTCAGCTTCCTGCAGCCCCCACCCTTGGGCACGTGGAGCCATGAGCATTTGCTCTGCCTCCTACTTCACCTCCCGGTCAGCGTCTCCACAGAGCTCACCCTGTTTGATGCTCCCTTTCCTGCCCTGTGCTCTGAGCTGTTTTCAAGAAAAGCTTAGCCTCCCTGTGGTCCTGTCACCCTACCCACTTGGTTTACACAAACATCCTGGCTGAGGATGGAGACCAGGACATGCAGGCCTCTGTACCCACTCCCATGTCCTCAGACCTCCACCTGCTGGGGCTGAACTTGTATCAGCTCCGATTTTACTTACCCCATGCCAAGTGTGTGGTGAAGGCACTGCGTTTTAGATCGTTTGTCTTGTGCTAAACACAGCCCAACTCTGATCCTGACATGACATTCCTCAGGATTTTGGACTTCCACAGGGTCAGGAAGGCATGCTCTGGGATGAGTTAGTTTGGAACACAAACCTTTAGTGTAAAGAGATAGCAAGTAGAGCATTTTTATGGGATCATTGGGAAGTCTATAAGTTGATGTGGAGGAAGTACTGAGAGCCAGTGGTTACAAAGAGAGCGATCTGTGAGGAGCTGGAGAGGGTTATAGGAGCAGTGTCTCGAGGCTCTGAGGCACTCACCATAGCCTTACTCAGCTCTGCTCATATTTGTTCCCCTAGCACAGGGGAGCAAAGAGGGTCTGGTCCAGTTTGAAGCTAATGAGCTCGAGTTGCCTGCTGTTTGCCATGCTGTCCTTTCCTCTGCTTCCTGCCTGATGACTTCATTAAGTTTCCCATAGCATAGCAGAAATTGAAGGAAAGCTCCCGAGACTTTCGGGCCCAGAGCAGACACGCTCTTCTTCTCCTCCCTCCCCTTTTTGTTTCTCAGGCAACCTACACAGCTATTTCCTATGGGCAAATCTCCTTGATGAGTCTGCCAGATTCCTCTTGGTATCCTCTCAGAGTAGGGACTTGGGCCCTCTGACCTTTACTCTGCAGGCTTTTCCCCTGCTGACCCACCCAGGCAACACTTTGTGCAAGGTTCTGTGGGTAGAGAGCATGTGAGGTGAGCAGTGGGCACACAGCAAGGATACGTCCCAGACTTTCATCTCGAGTGGGCAGACATCTTTAGAAGGAATACTAGACTAGGAGTTAAGAAGCCTCGGCCCTGTTCCCAAACTGGGACTCAATAGCTGTGTCACCTCGTCCTGGCCGTTGAAATTGGACTCCTTGGAGCATACCCTTGCCATCTATGCCAGAAAAGGACTGCATCTCCAAAATGCTCCTTCCAACCCAAAAACGCAGATAAATCCAAAGCAACAGTTAAGAGACTAGAAACACATCTAAAGAGAGATGACACTAGAGTATGAGTCATCTGGACTCAGTTTCTCCTCCTCCATCAGATCACTGACCAGTCCCATCCCCATTATGTATAGCCAAAGCAGGGACAGAGGCCAACCTCAGCCCTGCTTTCTTGTCTGTGCCTGCTTCTACCTCCCTGGGAGCCCAGATGCTCTTCTCACATCCTCCATAGTTTGTTCCTGTCAGCCCCTCTTCTCTTCTTCCCTGCTGTCAAGGAACTGTTTGCTCATTTGCCCCAGGGATAATAGCTGTTAAGGGTTCATGTCCTAAGAGAGACTTCTAGTGCCCCATGTAGCAGGCACTCCCCTCTACTGTTTGGAACTGATTCTCCTGTTTTCTCTCTGCCTGTGCCCTCCTACCTTTCCCAGGTTCGATCCATTAGCACCAACGTCCGGAGAAACCTGGCCTTCCACACACTCAGCCAGGAAGTCCTGCTCAAGGAGTTCTCTACTATCTCCTGAGGCCACACCTACCCGAGCAGCCTCTGACTGCCCTTACCCATGAATCATGGGCCAGAGGGGGAGCGAGGGGAGCGGGGCTGCCCCCGAGGTTGGAGAGAAACACAGATACCAAGTTCTCTTGGTGAAAACCACACTTCAGTGGAGCTCGGACAGCAGGGGCAGGAGGGGCAAGCCAGGGATAATCTTATTTGGGGAGGAATGGGTGGGCACAGTGGGGAGAGGCCTCCAGGAATGTAGGGACTTGCAGAGTGGGCTCCCTAAACAGCCCCTCACATTTCCAGTCTTGAGGTTACAAGCTGTGGCTACTGACTAATTTTCGGGAGCTGGTGAGACAAGCCTCAGGGTAATGCCAGCACTCCGAAAGTCATTGGCTCTGCTTGGCTTCTGAAAACAGATAAACTCTCAGATATAGCTGGAGCCACATCCTGTTTCCTTTGGACATGGGGCTGTGCTTGGCTTGCAATTTGTGTCCCCTGCCCCAACTGGCACTCTGTCCAGTCATCAGGACCCTTGGCTCGGATTTAGGGTAGGATAGGAATAGGGTACCTTTTTCCCATTTTCTTTCTTTCTTTTTTTTTTTTTTAGACAGAGTCTTGCTCTGTTGCCCAGGCTGGAGTGCAGTGGCACAATCTCAACTCACTGCAACCTCTGCCTCCCAGGTTAGAGCAGTTCTCCTGCCTCAGCCTCTGGAGTAGCTGAGACTACAGGTGCGTGCCACCACTCCCAGCTAATATTTTGTATTTTTAGTAGAGATAGGGTTTCACTGTGTTAGCCAGGATGGTCTCGATCTCCTGACTTCATGATCTGCCCGCCTCGGCCTCCCAAAGTGCTGGGATTACAGGTGTGAGCCATAGCGCCCACCATTTTTCCTGTTTTCTGAATTCAGTGTTGACTCCTCTGGGAAACTGGAGATGAGAATCTGCCAGTGCTCTGCTGTCCGGCCACCACTTTCTGAATTTTAATTTTGGCACCAGGAGTACCGTTAACTTTCCCCTCCTTCCGACCCATTGACTCACCAGCACAATAGGGTCACAACCTTAACTTTTCATTTCTAATTTAGTTTAATTGTCTTTAGGGTGTGTATGAAATAAACACTGACAGGTTTTCGGAGGCTTCAAGGTGCCTACTTTGCTGGTTCCCTTTCCAGCAGCTTCCCTGCCTCCCTAGCCCCCACTCCTTTGGCAGCCTCCTGCCTCTGCTGAGCTCCCCTCCACGTGTTCCACCCCCTTACCCTGCTGTTGTTTACATCCAGCCTCCCTGAGAATTTCCTCTGGGGAGGAATCTGTTCCTGTTGTGGTCTAGTGCCTGGGAGGGAGAGAACTTTCTGTGGGTAGGGTGCCCTCCATCTGAAACAGGCCAGGGGAGCATCATGCATAAGGCCTCCATTCTGTCCACTCAGATTCTGGGTGAGGCCATAGGCAAATCTCTTGACTTTTGGGGAGTCGGCCTGTGGTTCCTCCCTTGGATAGCCTCCATGGAACCACTGTAGGCTTTCCCCACAGCTGCCTCTGAAATAGCTGCTGCTTCGAGATCCTCCCTTTTTAAACTCTTTCTAAAGCCCTCAGGATGGCAGGGAGCAAACAGCACTGGTATATCCTAGGAGTAAGTGCAGGAATTCAGCAGTGAGAGCATGTCTGAGACCACCTGGGCTTAATCTCAAATCTCTTTGGGATACTTGCCCTCCCTGGGAACCAGAGTTCTGGCTCTACTGTTGAGCAGCTATGCACTAGTTCCAGAGAATCCACTAATAGGCTGCCATGTATAGATGTAGGTTCTTAAGAGATCACAGGCTGGGTCATCTCTGATTACTGGATGGATAGCTCAGCCTGGGGCATTTAGTGTTTTCCCTGGTGATAAACCCCAGAGCAGCTAGATCTGGAGCTGGTGGCAAGTTGAAATTATTAAAAATTGATTTGTGTCAGACTGTCTTTAGTGTCACTTTTTTTCTCTTCTGAATCTCTATTGCCCAGACTCATTCCTCAAAGATAGAGGTAAGGTGATCTCATAGGTGCTGCTCCTGGTTAGGGGACCTCTGCCTGTCCTTGTGAACTCTTCTCCTTCCTCTCAGTCTCCTGGCCCTAGTAGAGGCCAGTTGGGTTCAGAGATCTGTAACCTCCCTTGCCTTCTGGGTGGAAGGAGGGAGAAGGGAGTTAGTTCCCTTATCTCCAAACTTAGTGGTATTGAGGGGACAAGCCAACCCATTTGGCCACTCCTGGATTCCTGCCAGCCTTTTCTCCAAGTGAATGAGGACAGGTCTAGGGCATGGGGCACTAAGCAGAGGACTCCTTGCCCTCCATTGGAAAGGCCCTCCTTTTGACCAATTTCTTCACATATACCTATTTCAAGAACTCCAAATGAGAGTGCCCATTCTCTCCTGAAAATCAACCTCAACAGGAGCTGCCCAAGCACTGTCTTTGCCTAGCCTCTATGCCAGGTCTGTGGAGCTCCTCCAGAGCCAAGGGAGATCCAAGAGCAGGGCATTGCTCCTGAAGACAATCTGATGATGATTATTTTTTTTTTTTTGAGACAGAGTTTCGCTCTTGTTACCCAGGCTGGAGTGCAATGGCACAATCTTGGCTCACCGCAACCTCCGCCTCCTGGGTTCAGGCAATTCTCCTGCCTCAGCCCTCTGAGTAGCTGGGATTACAGGCACGCGCCACCACGCCCAGCTAATTTTTTTGTATTTTTAGTAGAGACGGCGTTTCACCATGTTGACCAGGATGGTCTTGATCTATTGACCTCGTGATCCACCCGCCTCGGTCTCCCAAAGTGCTGGGATTACAGGCTTGAGCCACTGCACCTGGCTCCTGAAGACAATCTTACCCTTAGCCACTTGTCCCCCACTCAGAACTCTTGCCACAATTCCCACTAGGTTGATTAAATCAAGTGGTTGGAAATGAAAGCCAGTTGAAGAGATTAAGTGTGTTTGAATCACTTTAACTGAAGTTTTTGGTCTTAACAGGTCACTCCTTCAGACCCACCAGACAAGGTCCCCTCATCCTCATAGCAAGGGGTTGGGGGGCTTTTGGGTGAGGAGCCCAGGAAGCATCCTGAGGAAGGTCAGACCTGTGGGGCTCAGACATTCAGAAGCCATTCCTGGGACATGAGGGAGCCCAGCTCCCTGCCTGTGGAAAAGGAGCTAATCTTGAGGAAGGGGTTTCATAACAAGGGCATTTCTTTTCTACTCTGTATCCTCACTTGGATCCCCAAACTCATCAGTTGCTCCCCAAATATGCCAGAAAACAAGGAATCTAGGACAGGACAGGTGACAAAAGAGAGAAGGGCAGAAACGTGGGTGCAGGGGAGAAACAAAAGAGCAAGGGTGTCTTGAGAAACTGACCTGGTTCACTGGTTTTCTTATCGTCCCAGTCAGCCTAGGGGGGAGGGATCACTACATCAGTGAAGGAGGCACCCTGAGAGTGAATGGTTCCAGAGACAGGGTCCTGGAGTGGGTGAGAATTGGGGTCCTTCTGGAACTTGAGAGAAGATGAAATTATAGTCCATTGGCCCACAATGAGTCTGCTATTACAGGCTGGGTTGACTCTTCCTCTGCATCCCTAACCAGCTTTAAGCACAGTAGAGACTGCCTGGGACCACAAGAGATGCATACACGGGAAGAGGAACAACAGAGAAAATAGAGGCTTTTGTGGAGGCAAACGGAGCCGGGACTCAGAGACGATACCCCAGGCTCTGCCTCAGCCAGAACTGTGCTGATGAAGGAGGAAGGCAGAAGGGGAAGGGGGAAGGGGGAGGGTATCTGAGAATTGGGGGCGGGGTTTCCTCTCAGCGGGGCTCTACTGTCCCGCGCTCTTCTCCACCCCCAAGACCCGTGACTTCTGGTTTAGGGGCAGATTGTTGGCGAGCTAGTCTTCCCTGCACTTTGCAGTTCACCCTTTCACCGGGTGCCACCCCCGAGCTGCAAAGTGTGGGGGGCGGGGGTAGGGGGAGCCAATCCCGGCAGCAGCGCCAAAGGGGGGGAGGCGGCGGTGACAGCCGCGGGGAGGGGGCGGGAGGAGAGAGGCGTCTCGGCTTGGCTCCGCGCTCAGCTCTGCTCTGCCTCCGGCTCTGCGCTCACCTGCTGCCTAGTGTTCCCTCTTCTGCTCCAGGACCCTCGGGTGGGCCCCAGACCCCGAGTCGGATCTCAGGCTCAGCCTCAGCCCAGACTCCTCCAGCCCCAACAGCGCACTAGGCCGCCAGGGGGCGCCGTGTGAGCGTCCTATCTCGGCCACCCGGCGCCCCCTCCCACGGCCCAGGCGGGAGCGGGGCGCCGGGGGCCATGCGGGGCCAGGGCCGCAAGGAGAGTTTGTCCGATTCCCGAGACCTGGACGGCTCTTACGACCAGCTTACGGGTGAGTCGGTGACGTGGGGGTCGCGGGAGGGAGGGTGGATTCCATTCCTCCAGACCCTTCCGCCTCTCTGACCCTGGCCTGGCCCGCACCCACACTCTGCCCCATTCCCAGGCACTCCCCTGGCCCGCTTGGGCGGCAGGACACTGGGGTTCAAGCCTTGGGCCCCGGGGGTGGGGTGGGGGAGGAGCAGAAGAGACAGGTGTGGAGAGGCAGCAGGTGTGGGCGTGTGTGACACAGGGCTGGAGGGTGTCTGGAGTGGGAGGTGTTACGTGCGTGAGCGCCTGTCATTCGTGTGTGTGTGTGTGTGTGTGTGTGTGTGTATCTCCCACAGCTGGTTGCCATGTGCCCTGAGCTTGGTGACAGCTAGGGTAAGTGCAATTGCACTTGTATAATTGCAGTGCAATTGTATGGTCTCATCTGATGTTTGAGGTTGCATAGGACCCTGATTGTACTGATGAAGTTGTTTTGACCATGTGTCTCTATTGTATGTGCAACGATGTGTTTCGAGTGTGTAATTCTGTACGGGCTCCACTTTAGGGTGGCTTGTCTCTTTGTAAGACTTCATGACCATGAGCCCCTCTGGACAAGCATTTGTCAAAGTAGGTTGTGTTGTGTTTTATGAGTGTTAGATGAGTGTTGAGTGTTAGCTGTGTACTCTCATGTGGTGATGTCTGCAGTGGGGCTCTGTGAGTGTCCATGACATGTCTCATCCTTGCTGCCTCTCTGACTTTCTGGTGCAGATAGGGGTCTTTAGCACACCCCACTGCTTCCCCAAGTTTTCCACAGATAGCCCAGGTGGACCCAAGGAGGGACTCTAGTGCTCAGCTGCCCAGCCTGGTTTCCAGGAGACCTTATGGCTCCAGCACCTGGCCCCTGCAGGGAGGTTTCAGTTAGTGCTGGGTCAGCTCTCTCTCTCCCCACCAAATCATGTGCTCCACCAAATCATGTGAAATTATTCTTACAACTGAATCCTTCACCCCCTGACAACCCTTCCAGAACTTCCCTCAAACCCCAGGAAAACACATCCTCATGCTTCACCTCCAGAGCCAGAGCTAGAAGCCCTAGGCCTGGGAAGTGACTTGCTGCATCCCCTATGTACCCCCAAACCACTTGACTGCCTGGGCATCCTCTCTTTCCCACATGGGGAGGTATGTGAGACCAGTACATCTGTGCATATGCATGTTCCTGGATAGGCATGCATGTTCTTGGTAGGCAGATCCATGTGTTTGTGTAGGTGACTGTGTCACCCTGCGTACATTTCCGTGTGTGTGTTTGTGTGTCTCATTGTACAGCCTGCTCTAGAAAGCCAGCAGAGTGGGAGGAGGGAGGCTGTCTTCCCTGAGGCCAAAAAAATGCTGGGGAGGTAGAGGGAGGCCATGATTCTTGTCCTTCCTGAAGCGAGTGAGAATGAGACCTGGGAATGGGGAGGGGCCTAGGATGAGGTACCTTGAGCATGTGTCTCTTCCCACCCCCATCACTGTCCCCAGGGAGGCCCTAGTCAGATTCAAGGGAGCCACTCAGGCAGGCCCCAGATGAGAGCATACTATATGTGCCTCAGAGCGGGATGGAATCCAAAGGTCTCAATGTCCAGCTCTTCTGTGAATTCTGTTCCCACCACCAGCTTAGGATTCTTGAGAGTAGTAAGGGCCTAGGGCCCTTCATTAGTATCACATTAGTCGGTGTTTGCTTCCAGCTTTAACGTATTCTCCCTCTTAGTGAAACCATCCCTTCCTCACTTGGCTATTTGAAAGAGATTAGGTAGGGGAAGTATTTGTATTTGGAGATGCCCTGTCTCAGGTCAGTCAGGAATGGAAGTGCACCAACTCTGTGACTTTTGCTCTCTTGGCCTCACTTTTCTCATCTGTAAAAAGGAATGTTACTTCCCACCTGCCTGCCTACCTCCCAAGGAAAATGGAAAGGGCAAGTGTTGACAAGCATCAAGAATTGTGGGCCGGGTCTGCAGCAGCTTAGCTGTAAGATAGCTCCACGCACAACTTGGAAAGTAGAAATAGGACTACCAGGAGCTCTCCTTTCGAAGAGCAGCTTATTTTATAGCGGGAGACAAATCAGATTGCGACGCCAAGACTCCCCCCGGCCGGCTGGCGGGCAGGCGGGCGGGTGGGCGTCGCTGAGCGCTGGGGGACGCCTAAGCTGAAGCCTGAAGGCGAGTCGTTGTCCGTGGTGCTGAAGCGCGCGCCAGGCCTCGCCTCCCTTTCCCTGCAGGTGGGATTCCTTTGATCGGATTTAGGAATCTCCAGCCCCAGTCATCGCAGCCCATCAGGCTTTCAGGGAGGCGGCTAGAAAGTTACACCTCAGGGCATCTTGGGCACCCCCGACCGTTTTGCTTCCCCACTCCCACTCCAAGCTCAAAACGGAGCTGGTAGAGACTCCAGAAAAAAATGAAAAACAGTTTGAGCCCCAGCAGAACCCCCGTCTAATCCCTCGGGTCTTCCCAGCCCGGTGGGACCTCTGGGCAGTACAATTCCGAGTGGAAAGGCCGCGCTGTCTGAGAGGAAGAGAGGCCAAGAGAAGATGAGGAGAGGGTTGGAGCCAGGCTGGCCAGGACTGAGCTCGATCCATGGACTGGGATCTCGGTGGAGTCCCTCCGGCCCTGAGTATTGTTCCCGGGGCGGAGGCGCCCTCGTGTGGCTGCGAGGAGCCATGCACGCGGAGCTGCTTCGCGATGGGGACCGTCGCTGTCAAGCGGACAAGATTTGCCCGGAGTTAGGTCATTCTCACCTCTTAAATGTAGGGTTTTCAACCAGAAATATGGGATTCCAATAGAAGGAGCAGGACTATATGTCTCCTGTAGGCTTTCCTAGGAATTTGAAGACGTTGGAGGGTCCTGGAAGGGTTTACTTGGGGTCTAACCTGATAGGGATGAGTCTGGAGTCCAGGAAAGGGGGTGCAGCGGGACTGAAGTGGGGTGGGGGTGGGGATTCTTCTCGAAGCATTCGGCTGTAGCCAGCGTATGGTGGTAGAGTCTGTGAACCTGCCACACTGAGACAGACATAAATAGAAACAGTTATGAGAGCAGGATATTTGGAGCCGAAGACAGAAAGTAGTGGGGCATAGCTCCGCCGCCTCGTCTCTGCCACCCCAATACACTGGCCTCTTTCTCCTTCCTCCTGCCTTTTCTTCCATTGGTCCAGAAAGTGTGGAAGTGTGGGGAGTTGCCATGACAACTCTGTCCTCTTACCCCTTCAGCTCTTTATGCCAAAATGGTGGGGGCGGGGTGCGGGGAGGAGTGCGACAGGCAGAGAAGGGGGGCTGAAAGGGGGCAATAAAGATACGGTTCATTCCCCATCCAGCTCTTTTCTCAAAATCCACGTGCGCCTGCCTGGCCTCCCCGCCAGAACCCAGAAAACACTCGCTGAGAAGGCTGAGTCCTCACCGCCCCTCCCCGCCCCGCCTAGTCTAGGAACTTTGGGGGCGGGTGCTTCACATGATGGGGCCAGGGTGAGCTCCTCTCGTGCGGCCAGGAGAACATGGGAAGGCTCCAGGGTTTGGATCCTCTGCCTGCCGGGCCGGCCCTCCCGCACCGCCCACACAGGGCCCACTCGGGTGAGGGCGGAGACCGGACCGCCCCGGGCCCTGAAGGCGGAGCTTGGCCGCAGAGCTCTCCACCAAATCATGAACCGGTGCCCCCGCAGGTGCCGGAGCCCGCTAGGGCAGGCAGCGCGATCCCTCTACCAGCTGGTGACTGGGTCGCTGTCGCCAGGTATGAGGAAGGGAAGGGAGGGGCAGGATCCTTCAAAAAGTGAGCGAAGTGGAGTAGGAGCTCTGCAGAGGTAGGGAGGGAAGGGCTTCTCACATAGATGGAGGGAGCAACATCCCTCCAAGAAAAGGGCTTCCGAGATGAGATCTCCGACGGGAGCGGAGCAGGGGATGGGTGGGCTTCCTTACAGAGCAAGAGGAAAACAGCGCTCTTCAAAGAGGAAAGGAAAGGGGGCATCGCAGTCCCTCACAATGGTGGAGGGGGCAGGGCTTCTCACTGAAGGCAGAGGAGGGGGCCACCAGTGAGGGGCAGAGCGCCTCCCAGGGATGAAAGGAGGAGGCTTGCAGCCGAACAGGGAAGAGGTTCAGCCCTTTCCTGCATTTCTTGGCTGAAGGGGTCTTAAGATGCAGGGTCAGTGTCCAGAAGGGAAAAACCTTGAGATGGGCCTAGACCAACATGAACTCAGCTAGCGAGTTCATGCATGACTTGGGATGGATAGATTTGTGTGGCTTAAGGATTGTATGTCTGTCTTCTTTCTCTCTGGAAGTGTGTATTAATGGGATTGTGCATTACTAAGTTGTGCATCGCTGGGCTGTGTATGGCTTAGTCTGTGTATCCCTGGGGTTGTGATCACTGGGATTCAGTGACACCAAGACTGTGTGTGTACCTGGAGTTCTGTGCTTCAGGATTGGGTTGAGGGTTCCTAAGTCTCTAAGTTAGTTGTGTAGCCTTCGTGAGGTTGTACCTTGGTGTGTGATTTGTGGAGTGTATGAGGTGTGGATTGAGGATATCCCACAGCACTGCTGAGGTGTATGCACATCTCCACTTGCGTTTCCTTATGGCTGCTTGGGCAGGGCCCACAGAACCCAACTTCCCTTCTGCACCTGGTCTCAAAGAGACCAAAACAACCTAGTCCCGTGGCATTCTGGGATCTGTAGTTTTTTGGCAATCTCTGTGGGTATCCACTTGAGCCCCTGGGGTATAGGCAGGGCTGGTGGTCTCTCCTTGCCATCTGTCCCCCAGAAGAAGGGGAGATGGATGGTGCTGAGCTATAACCAAACCTGGAAATCTTTTGGGAGCTTATGACCTCCAAGCCCCCTGCTTGGACCTGTCTCCAGTGACAGATGGCTGGAGCCAGGCAGGGCAAGCTCTCAATCATTGCAGGCATGACTTCCAGGACCCAAAATAGCCCCAACGTCTACAGAGGTCATTAATCACCTGATGCAGCTAGGGGCTGCAGTATCTTTGGCCTAGCTGGGAATGGCATGGGTCTGGGGGACTG